GCTACACCTGCAGATGAGTTTGAGGGGAGTTGACATCTCAACCGTCTGAGTTTCCCAGCCCGTGAACAAGGCGTGGTGAATCTCTTCACTGACTTAGGTCTTCCTTAATTTCTCTCAGCCTGTTTTTGTAGTTGTCAGCGTGCGAGTTGCAGTGTGTGACTTCGCAGCAGCTTTTGGGTGGGCGGGAGCTGCAGGTGCTTCGCCTGCAGCGGGATGTTCACAAATGCAGCCACATCGCTGCTCCTAGACTTCAGCACCGGCACTTCCTCCCGTGCTGTTCCTGCTTTGAGCCTTAAATTTGCTCCCTGAAACGATGAAACAGAAAACATCTGGCTTAGTGGGAAACCGGTTTTAGAAGCAACACGTGCTGCGCGTCTGCCGTTTCAGCGCAGATGCCCCTTGAAGAAGTAAGATGAGCCTTCGCGGAGAAGAGGGCGCCGGGTCGGGGCTGGGCCTCCTTCACCGCCGAGGTTGTGTCCCTGCTTGACCCTCGCCCCCCCGCCGGCGTCTTGCTTCGGGGGGAGAGAGAGTTTTCAGGAACGGTGGTCAGAATTGTGCGGTGTTGTGGACGAGGTGGGGAGGAGTGTTCCCACGGCGTGGTCAGGCAGGACGCTGACCAGATGCTCTTGAAGGAGGGAAACCCTGGGACCCAGGGCTGGGGCCCAGTCCCCTGGTGAACTGGACGTGAACTGGGCCCTTGCAGGGTGGCAGCATGCTCTGCCCTCCCTCCAAGCTGAGGTCTGGGGGGATGTGCAGTCAGGACACAGGCGCCCCGCCCACTCACATCTTAAACCACCCCCGCACCGCCAGCTTTTCAGCGGTCAGGGCTTCTGCAGGATTCAGCACGCACTTTGGGTGATTTAAAAGACGAACAGCCGAAAGAGTAAAAGGCCCATTTAGGCTGAATGTAAAGCTGCTTCCCAGGCTCCGAGTTGGCGTCTTGCCGAGTCTGCTTGCACTGGTGTAGCTGGGGGACCCGGCTGGTGTAGGTGGGGCCTGCTGGAGGGGGGCTCAGGCAGGACTAGGGGAGGGCGCATGGCAGGAGGGCCACCGTCCACCCTGGTCTGGGGCTGTACGGCCTCGGGGAGGCCACCCAGCTCCCCGCACCCGCGGACACGCTGAGCGGGCGCAGCCCTCAGGAGTGCGTTCTAGGCTGTGTCACAGGGTGGGCGCCGTTTCTCTGCGGCTTTAGTGTCCATATCGGGGGTTGGGGGCCCGTTGATTGTGGGGGCCTGCTCTCTGTCCCCGTCTTTGCAGCCCCTCAGCGCAGCCTGGCAGAGGACAGTGCTGGGAGCCTTGGGGGTGGTGGTGAGGGCTGGGCCTGGTCTCTGACCCGGCTGCTGGTCCCTGCTCGTGCCATCACAGCCGCCGTTCCCTGGGCCGTGGGCCCCCGAGCCCAGGGGAAGGAGGCTTGTGGGACAGGGTGAGGTCGGGGCCTGGAGCCCCTGAAGGTTGTGCTGAGGAGTGTTTGCCCACGAGTGATGTCTTCCAGGTAGAGGTTCCCTGGCCAGCCGGAAAATGCCTGTTGACTCTGTAGTGTAGCTTTGGCTGACCTACATTTTGGCTGAAAATACAGTGAAAAATGTTGACATGAAAGGGATGGGAACCACTCACGATGGGGAAGAGCACGCGAGTTGACCTTGAACTCAGGTGCGTGAGGGACGGTGGGATTCAGTCTTCAGGAGCCATTGGCTGTGCTCAGGCTCGGGGGACACGGCGCCCCACAGAGCTCGCGGGCTGGTCCCGCGGGGTGGGGGTGGCTCGCTGGCTCTGCAGGCGGGCGCCACGGCCTGTTACTCCGAGCACACGGGGGCTCGGTCACCACCACGCAGGGTGCCTTCAAACTTCTGGTGCCGGTTTTGTGCTGCGCATTGTAGTTTAAACACCTGTGCTTCCACAGTAACAAAAAATAGAAAGTAGCCTGTCCTCACCAATGAAGGAGTTGTGAATGTATTTTGTATGAAATATCACGTAGCCACTGAAGATTGTGGTTTTGAAAAGAAGAAAATACCAAACTGGGTATCATCAAAATGACCTCAGTTTTCTTTATGGTCATCAAACCACAGCTGTCACACATCTGCACGTGGGCCCGGGAACGCAAGGGAATCAGCCAGCGGAGGCTCAGGAGGCGTCTGTGTTCCTTGTGCATCTCCACAGTTCTTGGTTTCCTGACATAAATACTTGCTCTTTACTGAGAAAGACAGGAAAGTTATTTAAAGAGAGAACCTGAGTTGTTTTCTGGCTGCTTGAACTGCATGCGTCATGACTGTGGGTCATGCAATTGTCTGGTTATGGTTTTAGAGTGCCCCGAGTGGAAGAGGGGACCTGGGGGTGAGGGGTGCAGGCGGCGGCCTGGGCCGGGGGGTTGGCTGGGTCAGGAGGGGCGGCCTGGTCCCTGGCTCCTGCCTCACCTGTTCACTGCCTTCAGGGAGTCTGAAGGGCCTTTGGACTTTTTGTTTTAATTTTTGGGGGGAGGTAACTGGGTTTATTTATTTATTAATGGAGGCACCAGGGATTGAACCCAGTACCCGTGTGCGCCCCACTGCTGAGCTGCACCCTCCCCCCCGAGGGGCCTCTGAAATAGAAGTTACGTGTGCTGTGACAGGGCGGACGTCTCCTTCCCTGATTTAAGGGCCAGAGAAGTGTCTGTGCAGCTCTTTTCTCGGCCACTGTTGAAGCCAAACTGCCAGGGAGCGTGCAGTGGGCCCTCGGTGTCTGGGCACCTTCAGGGGAGCCAGTCACCCGCTGGCTGCGGGGCCCTTCCTGGGCCACCCCCTGAGCCGCAGCTGCACACGCAGAGGGCTGGTGACGGGGGCCTCGAGGCACTGGGTGGCAGGTGCCGCGGTAAGCGCAGGAGACTGCTTCCTCGTGACCTTTCATCTAAAGCTCATTTCAGTTGGTGTGCGGTGCTGGCGTCTGTCCTGACCCCCTGGGGGCCACGTGCGCGGCTGACTGCTTTTGTTGAATCAGTGACTGAGCTGTTGTAACTGGGTTTGGGGGGCTGACAGGGAAGAGTGTCCCAGGACGGCCCCCGCCCCGCTGGCCCTGTGTAGTCGGCCTCCCTCCCCTGGGGAGCCACGCGGTGTTCCTGAGGCTGCGGCCATGCGGCCTTCATGCCCGGTGGCGGCCGTCCCGTTTCTCGCTTACCTTTTATGTACCTGCTCGAGACGTTTCTCGTGAGGTCATGCCGTCGCTGCTGGGTGGGCGTCTGCTTCCGTCCCCAGCTTTCTTCTCGCCAAGGGCGCGGCGCTCTGCCCCAGTGTCCGTTTTTTCAGACTTTTGTGTCCAAAAGCCACTTACTTCATCGGCATGTTAATAACCACGTTGCTGTTCCATGGGTATTACTACATAAGTATTCCTTTTTCGCATATACATTATTTTGTAAGCAGAAAGCCACCCGATGATCAAGGTGTTCACATCAGCTGCTACGTGAGCAGGTCTGAGATCGGGGTTGCCAGCCGTGGGGCCTGCGGGGCCTGCTCGGCTGCCCTTCTCCCCAGCCAGCTGCAGCGGTGGCTCCTGGGACGTCTGAGATGGGGACAGCTGGGTGCTCACCGAGTCCCCTCTTCCGGGGCCGCCGGCGTGGTTGTGGGCCTGGCTGCGTGGCTGTGTCATCCCCCGGTGGGCCAGCCCTGACTCCACTGCCCGCGGCTGCCCCGGGCCCTCCAGGCCGCTCCGCCTGCGCCTCAGCAGGCGCCCAGGTTGCAGAGGCTTCAGTGGAGGGAGTTACTGGCAGGAGACTTTTTTTTTTAATTTTCAGCATAGTTTCTTTTAAAAGGGCTGTTTTGAGGGGAAGCTCTTTTAATGGGCATGAACGTGGTCTTCTGGGTCAAGAGTTGTAGACCTGAACCCAGGGAGAGGCCTGTCATTCCCCGATGTCGTGATGGGTTTGGAGGAGCCGGGACGCAGCACCCTCTGACTTCTAAGTTGGCTCCGACTACCGTTTGGTTTGGGAGCGGGTGCCTGATGTCACCGCCGTGATGGCCGGCAGGAGGTCCTCAGGCTTGGGTACCACTTTGAGCGCAGTCTCTGAGCAGGGGTGCAGGGGCTGCCATGCAGCGGCTCCCCGGGCGACCCTGGCCCGGCGCCTTGTCCTTCAGTGGCTGCTCGGTGCCGCCCTCTGCCGAGGCCTCGCTCCGGGAAGCGTGGTGTCTCGGTGCCTGTGGGGCCCCTGCGGCGCCGTCAGTGGCTGTCCTGGGAAGTTCAGCGTGAGTGTGCTGCTCTTCCAGGTGAGGTCTCAGGTATAATCGGTTGGTGGTTTTGAAGCTCATGTTAGTGCCAAACCTGACCGCTCTGATTTGCGTTCCAGCAGCTTAGCTGAAGCAGCATGAAGAGTGGGCGCTGCTCCGTGTCTGTGTCCCCGTGGTGGGCGTCCTGGGTCGCCCTGGGCACACCTGGCCTTGCATCCAAGAGGGGTCTTGCTCGAAGAAGGAGATTTTGGGGCTTCACAGGACTCCAGGCAGGGAAGCCCAAGGGCGCGGCTGTGGGGGTGCTGTCCCCTGGGGCCCAGCTCAGCCCGTGGGGCGGGAGAGGAGGTCAGGCTGCCTCCAGAGACAGGCCGTGGGGGTCGGGGTGGGCTGGCTGTGGGGTCTAGGGCAGGGCTTGGGGTCTGAGGCTCCAGTCATGACCTCTCGCCTGACACCTGCTGCCTTGTGAACTTGGCCGTGCTGGGCAGCCGTGGGCACTCTCACACCAGGCCCCTGGCCTGTTGTCCTGGCCTGCTGTCCTGGCCTCCTCATCTGCAGGCCGTACAGGGTGGCCGAGGGGCTGCCAGTGTGGCTCCAGGAGCTTCGCTGCCTGGTTGCTGACGGATGGGTCTGAGCTGCCATTCCAAGCCCACGAGGATGCCCTGCGTTGGCTCCATCCTGTGCACCATCGTTGTGGGCACGTCTGCTCTGCACGTTTACAACTTCCCCTCTCACTCCTCAGAGCTGTCCGGCTCCCCGAGAGAGTCTGGGCCTTCGGGGCACGTGTCCTGACGCCGTCTCCTACCCCCCCAGGTATGGTCCTCGTGCGCAGCGAGAACGGGCAGCTGTTAATGATTCCTCAGCAGGCCTTGGCCCAGATGCAGGCCCAGGCCCACGCCCAGGCCCAGCCTCAGACCACCATGGCGCCCCGGCCGGCCACCCCCACAAGTGCCCCCCCCGTGCAGATCTCCACCGTGCAGGTGAGTGTGTGCGCGTCTGGGCGGCCCTACCGGAGGAGAGCCCTGTGTCCTGGCCCCGTCCTTCCTCTCCCGTGACTCAGCTCCTGTGCCTCAGTTTCTTCTTCTGCAGAGTGGAGCTCCTCCCAGTGCTGCTCCCATAGGGCTGGTACAAGGGCCGAGTTAGGGCATTTCAGGGCTAAGGCCAGTGGAGCAGGGTGGACGCTGAGTCAGTGTTAGCTCTTACTATCCGGGAGGCAGGTAAGAACATCACGGGATGATGTGAACAGCACCCACCCACCCCACGGACATCTGGGCCTTTGGGGTTCGTGCCCTGACCCTGAGACTGTGGCGGGATGACGGACTCTGACGCTCGAAGCCGAGTGCCTAGGACGTGCCCCTCCTCCAGTGTCCGGCTTCTTAATTTCCACCTGGGCTGGTGCCATGCCCTTACCCCTTCCTATTCTTGTCTCCTGATGCCTGCCTGTCTGATGCTACGGTTCTGCTGTTCCGAGCTGGCTGCAGGTAGTAACTAAAGTGGAGATGAGAATGGTCTTGAAGTCTTTTCTCCTGTGACTTGAGCCATGTTGCCTCTGGAGTTGATGCTTCTGTGCTGTAGGCAGAGGGCGTGGGGGTGCTCGGAGATTCACAAGTAGCCTCCTTTGCTGAGTACGGTGTATGAAGATTCTGATCAGACCCTTTTACTTTAGTAAGAAACGTATGGAACCAGGATGGCCTCCCTGAGGATCGTGAATAAACTTGTAGGCGCCCGTGAGCATACTGGTTGTGTGCTAGAGGGCTGATTGTTGGGGGCGCCAGGCGGCGGGGTGTTACTCACTTGTCTCTCCTTTTAGATGACAACTCCTTGTTTTTCAGGCACCTGGGACCCCCATCATTGCACGGCAGGTGACCCCAACGACCATAATCAAGCAAGTGTCTCAGGCCCAGACAACGGTGCAGCCCACCGCAGCGCTCCAGCGCTCGCCCGGAGTTCAGGTGAGGCCGTGGCTCCGCGCGGTGGCCTTGATCAGGGGTCAGGCCTCACAGGCTCGGGTGCTGGGTGTCAAGGTTTAGAGCTTGGGGAGGAGGGACTTTCTGAAGGAGGTGCTTCCCTGACCACTGACACAGGCAGGCTGGCATTCTTTTCTTTAAAGCCAAGCGGAATTGACACCAGCAGCATTCTTTAAGGGTGCTTCCCCCTCAGCTAGAAGTCCAGTTAAAAGTGTCACCTCATTCAGAGTTGGCGGTGAGGCATCTCTGAGCAGGAGAGATGGGCAGTGGACTGTTCGTGTGTGGCGCCTGTGGCCTTGTCCGGGCTTCGCGGCCCAGACGCATGCGTCCTCCCTGTGTGTGCGTGTTCATGTGTGCAATTCTCACAACACCCCTTGCTGACGGGCCCTGGACACGTGGGGCGTGAGAGGTGCTTTGAAGCTTCCTCCCGCTGCCGCACCTTTACCAGCGGTGAAGTGCTGTTCCAGAAATGTCCCCTGTTGAACGCACGGGGCTGGTGTGTTTTTGGGTCTTTAAATAGCGTTTTAAGCTGTGGGAAGGCAGGGTTTTCAGGTGCTGGCCTCTCTCGGCGGGTTCTGATGCTCCTGATGGCAGCCTCTGGTCTGCGGAGCTGAGGCGGGTGGCTGGGCACTGGCTGGCCCCTCGGTCCCAGGATGCGGCCTCTGGGGGCGGCCAGGTGGGAGCCCGCTGTCCACGCCATTCCTGTTTTTACAGTGATCTCGAGTCTGCTGTTCCAGCAGGTGTCCCCCCCACCGCCTCCCGCAGAGCTGCGGGCCGCACGGTGCCCACTTCCCCTGGGAGGAGAGCGAGGCTGAGAGGTTGCGGGGGCCCCAGGCTCTACCCACCCTCCCCGGTCCCGTCCCCATTTGCTGTGTCGGCAGCGGCCACGCTGCTTTTTTAAAACAGCTGCGAGAGCAGTTGGGTCCCAAGTAAGTGAGCTCAGCTGTCTGCCCCGCGTCAGGAGCTGTCCAGGCGATGGCCACGTCCCGGGACCAGGTCTTCTGGCCGAGCTCAGCTTGTTGGCGAGTCTGACCTTCAGATCTAGTGAAAGGAGCCTTTTCCGAGGTCGGGAAGCTCAGGGTCAGTTTTTGTTTCCAGTTTAGTGGAAGATAAGTTTATCAAAACAGGTACAATCTCAGTCGTCTGGTGAGATGCGTGTTCATCCGACCAGCAGAAGCGAGTGTGTAGTCAGTCCTGACGTGAAGGGGGCGCCAGGGACGGCAGTGCCCGGGCTGTTTCTGGGTGTCCAGGCGCAGCTCCCGAGACAGCTGTGGTCGGTCCTCGTACTTGCCCTCCCTTGAAGTCTCTTCTTTGATGTTTTGTAATTACAAAAGAACGCAGGCCTAAGC